TACAATACCATACTGTACCGTACCGAGTGAATCTCGAAACTCCGGTCCAGCACGATATTTCAATCCTTGGATAAAATTTTTATTTCTGACAAGTTCACATTTTTGGTCTTATAGGAAAAATACATTTCTACCTGAATTTGCGTTGATTAGGAAGCTTGACCAATTATTAAATATCAAGTAGACAGGCTAGCATAAAGTACTTCTAAAAATTTTTCAAGATTATTCAACCTAAGATTGGACTATAAATGGGTAGAAAAGATCTTGACAGTGCTAAATTACGAAAATGCAATGTACATTTTTTGCTGGGTAAAAACTGAGGAAAAAAGATAACATAGCAAGAACATAAAAATAAATTATTCAGAAGTCGAGTTCAGTATATTGATCAGTGGATTTCAGTACAATAAGAGAACATATAAGCAGTAAAAGAACATTCAACAGAGAAATGCAGTACTTATCACATGTTGTATCCCGATGCATGCAAGAAACCTTCGAAAATTTGGAGCTAAGGACAAAACAGACTAGGTGGACAGTCATGATACAAGGGCCATAACTATGTCACCTGGATGATGATTTATGCTGACATGTACCACATGATGCACAAAGCTGGTGGATGAGGGATATGGCCATGGTGCGATACATGCTCAGTTAAAGGCAACCAGTTTGTGATAACTCCATTAGTATCATCGAAGCAAGAAACTTGTAAAACACATGATCGTGCATAACCTTTCCAAGTCCTGGGAAATAATAATTATTCCTAGCCAGGTCTAATACATCTAAGCATTCTTGGTGCACAAGAATACAATTGAAAAGCTTCGAGCTGCGTAAGGACAACATAGGAGTACCAGACCTCTTAACAAATGAGAGCCATGACAGGTGGTCATGACACAAGGGTTGATGACTATGCATCCTAGATAATGACTTATGGTGGCAAGTAACATGGTGTAACAAGCTCGAGCATGAGGGCTTTTTGACATGGTGCAATACATGCCCGGTTAGAGCCAATAATTTGTGGTGATCCGATTGTCTTCTCGTAGCAGGATATGACCACATGCGGAGTGTCTACATGTGATGGCTGAGTACAACACATGTCAAGCAAGACAGGTGATCCCTTAAAAACTTGGAAAGGACTACTACTTAGCTGATTGTGCTACCTAATTGACCAGAATTGTTAAAATTCAAGAAGATGCAATTAAGAAAAGTGAGCACCTCTTCTCAAGAAATGTCTTAGCATTAGAAACATTTTTCCCCATTGCTGAAGCCTTCCAAGAAAAATATGAACCTGATGGGTCAACCTGTCAGAACAAAGTTAGAAAAATCAAAGTCCTCTTATACCTCAAAAACCTCACATGTTATATCAGTTTAAACACAAGCAGGGGCCAAGTCACAAAAAAGACAATCTTAAACCAAAATATACAAGACATAGAACAAAAATGCTCAAATTTACCAATTTTTGTAATTCAATGTGTTTTGTTCATAACTAAAAAAAAGAAGTGTATGATCGTAAAGGAGTGATAGTAAGTTTAGAGCATCTATTCAACCTCTATCAAAATGACTTGTCCAAGAATATAGCCACAACTAAAGGCATCATATGAATGCGTACCTGATATAACTGTGGACCATTGTCATCATATCCAGCAATCAGAAGGGAAACTCCAAATGGCCTTACACCACTAAACTCAACAAGAAACCAAAAAAGCAAGACAAAAGGGAATTAATACCTTAAATAAAAAACAACTCACTACTTTAATCATATAAATTGCTAACTGATTGATTATTTCATGCACAAAGTTTGGCATATATTATGCTTAATGCTATTTATGATAGGTAGCTAAGAAGTAAAAAAGGTTAGACGAACAAGATGACCCACAGTTTCATCATCTCTTATAAGATCTGTGAGGATAGTAAAACACCTCATATTAGCCAGTGAACTAAAAAAAGTACCTAGTAGGTACTTAGTAATAGGCAGTCATAGGCTGTACAAAAGTAGTTGTTTATTTGCATATTCCTACAATTGTCTAATCTGTTTCTCACATGTACATGGACTTAGCATCATAAGTCAACTTGCATTGTACATATCATGACAAAGAGACAAAACAGCTAAAAGAAAGTGGGTCTAGAAGGATACCCAGATTGTGTAAATTCCTGCATAACTGCTGCAGTTTCTCTGACAAGTTGTGTTACAGGAATAGCCTCCTGCAATCATTTAAATGTGTAATCAGAATCTGTGGAGAAGGAACCTCCAAAAAAAATATAAAATTTAAAGTACACATGAAGATACAAGGCCATAGTTTTGAATTAAAAACTAATCCTGTAAGAACACATTACTAGTCACTTCATGTGTCATGTATAATTATGATAATAATACCAAAGAAAATCTTATATGTTGCATGATAATGGAAAGCCATCTACAGGGCTATAATAATTCTTGGATATTATGATGACATAATTTTCCAAAATGTATGACATTACAGAAACAGACTCTGTTTGCAACAGTACAGCTGCATAGATTGACACTCCTCAGACACCGAATTAGTAGGAGTCTCATACATTGGCCATATTTTTCTATAGTATAAAATGCAGTATGATTTCATTGATAAAATAACTACAGTTGACAATCACAAAATACAGATTCTTATTAAAGGAAATGTATCATGCGTACTCAATTTTACTTGGCACATTAATGTTAGTTGCAATTTAGATCTTTAATCTGATTTTGTAAATACTAAATTTTACTTAATAGGAGTTTGTTTCAATTTGGCATTTTAGTATTATAGGTTCACTTGCACAGCCCTAGATAGGGAATTTGGGTTTGGGTTGATATCTAAGTATCATCTGGGTACCAAATACATTCAGAAACAAGAAACAAATCAAAATAAAAGCTACCATGATTTGTAAAATCTAAATATTAAAAACTCAAATGTAGCTTAAATTCATACCGCGTTAAACTATCTTACTTAGATTTAGTGAAAAAAATACTCGTGTCTGCTAGTGTCTAAGTTGGATATGTGCACAAACAAATGGCCTTAACAAAATTTAAGAGTGCAAGTGCATTACTAAACACCAAACAACAAATATCTCAGATTGTTTTTACTGCATTTCAGGAAACAACCTTAAGAACAAAAATGTTCTCATTCTATCTGTGAAGGATGGAATAATATAACCAGCGGAATTTTGTAACAATTGAAAACAGTAAAAGAACAACTCTGGACCAAAAAGGATTAAGGCTTAAACGATACCTTATATAGCCGAAAATATTGTTGTGCTTGTTTTCTACTTTTTCTTACTAGAACACGAGAATCTGGGCCCATCCCACTGCAACAGAAAAGGAAAGACATTAAAGGCATTGTTGTAAAACAACTGAATGAAGACAATGTGGACAAATTCTTTTTATCAAAACCCGATGAAACGAGATAAATATAAGCACTAAAGTGTAGAATAAAGTAAAACCAACTCCTTTACATGCTAAATCCTAATGTCACATAACAAAGCAATAACATTCTTTTTACTGCTTTGAGCATTTGATGCAACTCATTTTTTTAAATAGTACAGCTGGCACCAACATTTTTCAAGTGCTAACTTGTCTTATATTAGTGTATTACATGTTCAGCTGAATATAGCAAAGTCAAATCTGTACTATCAGTTAACAGCATCTGTAGTTTTATAACTTGATAATGATACTGATGATGACTTGTGTTTGCTTTTTTAGCCCAAAATATACTAAAAATGGTGGATTGAGCTAGGGATACATGTGATCATATCGAATGACTTCAGATGCACATAATACTTGCATGCTTAGCTTGTTATCGTCCTTTGACATGAGCAAAACTATTTCTTAATATATTAGCAAACATTAACTTGTGGACATCATTATAGCACATCAATAGCATCATTCACAAGTTCACAATTCACAAATAAATTTAAGTATTGAGAGAGGCATATCTATCAGATGCTCATAGAGAATTAACAGAACTTCACACATACAGAAATAAACATGTATCTAGATGCATCAAGCTTGATACGTTGTGCTTGCTTGTTTATGTGAGCAATAGTAACGAACTTGGATGAAAAATATAAAATACAGTCATAGAATAGCAAGGTCCAAAAGAAATTTTTCAAGAAACAAATCTCCTGTCAGAGAGTTAGTTGGAAACCAGTGGGCCAAGAAGCATGTGAATAATTTGTGAATTTTCAATAAATTTGAAATTTCAATTACTTTGCAAAAGGTACTTCATGCATGTATACAAAACCATAATCAAACTAGCAGAAAAATACATGAATACATTCTAGAAATACATTACAGAATAACCTTGACTAAATAGGAATGCCAATTGAAATTTGAAACTGCCAGTTAAAATCTAGATGTAGCATCAAAATACACACAAAAACATATATTTATATGCTAAGAACTTTTTATGCAGAGGAAATATAAACATCAAACTTTATCTACAAGAAACTACAAAATATGTGATTTATCCGCAAAATGTTTCAAGAAAAAAACGGCAGAGCAGAATGTTCACCTATAAACAACTCCAATATTTGTTGTCATAAGCTGGATCTTTTGCACCTACAAAAAAAAAAGTTAAATAAGCAACCTTCAAATTTGAGTTGTTCAGTAGAATGAGAAGAAAATTATTCTCTATGCACTATTCCAGCAGAAGTAAGATACTAAAAAAAGGATGAGAAAGTGATAAGAGGGAAAAGAGAGACTGGGGGAAGAGAGAGGATTAGGATGATATGGACCATGCTAAAAAACCTCAGTAGCTATTGGTTTCTCAATTCAGTCTTCCATCAATTATCAAATGACAGACATTTCTTTCTATAACATACAACTGAACCTCAATTTTACTTAACTAAGACTGCATAATTTCCGACTGAAGTGACACATCACTAGAAAAAATATGTGCCCAGTGTCATCTGAATGAATCAGTTGACCACCCCTAATAAAAGAAGTATGATATAACATATCATTAAACACTAACCTATTAGACTCCTTCCTGAAAACTCAAAATTGATCTACTTGGTTAAGAAGCTATTAGAATAAAACAAGCTTTACAACCATCATGGTACTCTTTGAAATGTTTCTATGTAATTAAACATATTTAATTTTCACAAAGAGAAAACTACCATCCACAAGATCGTACCAAAATATTGAGAAAACAGACCAACAGAAAACACAGCATATATAGTCTTCAAAGTGAATTGATACCACCCAAAACACAAAATCTAAGGAAAAAACTAATGATCTAAAGATAGATGCTTACTGATGTCTCATCCACCAAAATGGAAGGAAGCTTCTTTTCGGTTGCAATAACAACACCATTGGATGCTGTAGTCATAAAAAAATGAATATCAAGAATTTTTCTATACAAGTGTAAACCAAGAAGCATACAGGATGGTTTCCAATCAAATTTCAGTAAGTAGTCATATTAATCTCAATCATCCTCCTCAACCATATTTAACCCTTTAAAAATTGCATGCTGCTGGCATTAGAACTATGGTTACCACTTTCTTATAAGGACTACTAATCTGAACATGTAGAATTGCTTCCACGTAAACTCTAGTGTGTACTCATATCAAACTGGGTCATTCTACCTAACAATAATTAAGAACATCAAGCATCTATAATTGTTGCAGAGGCTCCTTATCAGCCAAAAGCTTCTTCTCAGTTGCAATAACAACACCATTGGATGCTGTAGTTATAAAAAAACGAATATCAAGAATTTTTCTATACAAGTGTATACCAGGAAGCATACAGGATGGTTTCCAATCAAATTTCAGTTAGTAGTCATATTAATCTCAATCATCCTCCTCAACCATATTTAACCCTTTAAATTGCACGCTGCTGGCATTAGAACTATGGTTAACAAACAAGTTCTTGTAAGGGCTGCTAATCTGAACATGTAGAATTGCTTCCACGTAAACTCTAGTGTGTACTCATATCAAACTGGGTCATTCTACCTAACCATAATTAAGAACATCAAGCATCTATAACTGCTGCAGAGGCTCGTTATCAGCCAAAATCTCTAGATAACACATTGGTCACTTTTCAAATCCTTTGTGCAACTAAAATGTTGATATGTTCTAATCAAGTGTAAACAATCTCAAAAGGATATACTCAATCAGAAACTTTCTGTGTTCACAGTTAATCTTGTCATTAAGCACAAATCTTTTTGTGTTCCCTGGATTTCTTATTTCGACCATCACATTCTTAAGTACGCTCAAAACACGCACGACAAATTATTCAATGAAACAGCTTCACATCAGCCTGATCTGATAGGTGGAACTTTTGAGGGAACCCTGAATTAACGACCTTTTCGTTTGAAACAAGAAACGTGCATAAAGTAGAAATAAAAACAAAGAGGACATATTAGATCGCACATAACCTTTGATCCCGAGAGAGGTTTGTCCCGATCCGACGGCCGTTAGGGCGTGCTCGATCTGAACGAGCTTCCCCGAAGGGCTGCAAGGCGACAGATCAAACAAGAGAGTAAAAGGAAGGTCCATGGAGGCGCAAGGGTTTGCAACGTATTGAGGATATGAGATGGAAGGACTGGCAAGAGTACCTGAAGGTGGTGAGGGAGAAGGAGTACTGGCTGTCACCCATATTCGCGAGCGAGGAATGAAGAAGGCGAACGGAGCGATCGGGCGAGGAGAAGAGGGAGCGGCTTCAAGAAGAGGGGAGACTGAACCCTTCTCCAAGCAAGGAAAAACAGGAGGGTGTTTTGGGTATCGTGGTACATTTATAGATAGAACAAAAGGGTAGTATGGGAATATCGATCAAATATTAATAAAATATTACCAATTAAATTCTAAAAATTCCACTAAGTAATTGAATAAAAATAAAAAAAAACCTTAAGAAGCCAGTTTTGCATTTGTAAAATATTTAAATATTTTTCTTATTATAAAAATATATTTATATTTCGAATTTTGTTTTTTTTAAGTCTTTGACATTTTGTCCTTTATTTTTTTTGTTTTTATTTATAAAGATTAATTGGTGGAAAATGGACACCCAGATTCCTCCACCCTGTTGGGTGGTATCACCACCTACATTGCAGCAGGTGGAGGGTTAAAATGAGAGAGAAATAGAAGAAAGAGGTATTCTAAAATACCTCATTTTATTTTATCTAACAATCAATATTGAAAGTTTATTTGTCTAGTTATTCTCTACTTAATCTGTATTCATCTCTTTACTTTGAGATGTTGATTGTTTAGGTTTTACAAAATACCTTATTTTATTTATCTATCTATCTGCACTGAAATTTTATTTGTGTAGTTACTCTCTATTTAATTTTTATTTATCTATCTACTTTGACATTTTGATTCTTTAGGTATTCTAAGTACCTTATGTTTTATTTATTTAAATATCTACAAAATTTTTTTAGGTATTTGATAAAGACAAATGATATGATCAATATTTCACCGTCACGTGACTTCACTTATCGACACATCAATCGCTTAAGCCCACATCAATCACATGCAAATAATATATGGCAGATGATCCAACCAACACACCAACATCATATGATTGTACATGGCTGATATGTCAACTCCACATGGTCGACATCACATGTCGACTGGAGCAAGCCAATCAAAGGATGCCTTAGATATGGTGCATATGAAGCCACTATCCCAATTCGACTCAAGAACAAAGCATAACCCCTCACAACCATTGATGATTCCGTGAGTAATGGCATTCAAAACCACATATAAAATGACTTGAACTGAAGTTAACTTGGGAAAGACCTTGGTTGGATAAAAAATCATCTCCAACTCGAACAATAGAAATCTACACTAATGGGTGGTGCTAGAATGAGAGCCGATGTCTTAGAAAAATTTTGTAGGACCTTCCAAAACTTAATCATCGCTGTTGAAACCTTTCACTATCTAACCAAGCAAGTCTAGTTCTTAATCGAGATATTTCAAATTGTAGCTCCCTATCTTCTATAACTTATCTAAATGGCACAACAAGGAGTTACCTAGTTCTAGTTATTCCACCTTTCCTTCATCTAATTCCTCACCCAGCTCTAGCTCCTAAGTTGACTCATGACCTCCTATAGTCGATCTACCTTAAGAAAATAATTTTCCTCAAGATCTTCCCCATGGGCTACACCATAATCCTCTAAGATCCTAAGGCGCGGGAAGTTAGTTGTTTAGTCGATCGAGCTCCCCCCCTCCCCCGACATTCATGACCATCTCCACAAGATGGATCAATGTCAAGGAGATATTAAGAAAGAGATCAAATAAGGGAAGCAACCAAAGATCGACCCCTACTTAAGTTATCCATTCGTGAGAAGTATTTAAGAGGACCTAATCTTATAGGGGTTTCAAATGTCAATATTAAAACTATATGAAAGGAATTCTGACCCTACTAAGCATTTGATTACATTCACTTCACAGATGATGCTATGGGGAATGTCATACTCCCTTGTGTGTTACACCTTTTTGACAACTCTACGAGGAGTAATAAGAGAATGGTTCTCCAAACTACTCTCAGAATCAATCTCCTCCTTCGGTCAACTTGCCAAGGAATTCGAACCCAATTTCATCAATTATAAGCTACCAAAGAAGCCCACAACTTCTCTTCTGGCCATACGCTATTAAGATAAGAAATTAGTGGCAAGTTACATAAAACGGTTTAATGATGATGTGCGATTGATGGTTGACCCTGATAAGTAGATAAGATTTCCTCAAGGCAGTTGAGGAAATCTCTAAGTAGTTGAGAAAAATCCTCCCTGCTGAATGTGTATAACCTCCCTGCTGAGTGTGTATAAATAGCTATCAAGAGCTCACTATCAGATGTATTAGCCAATTACATCTTATACATTTCATAGTTTCTTTTACAATTTCTATCTTTCTATCTTCTTCGTTTAGTTCTTATCATGGTATCAGAGCAGTTTGCCTAGAGCAAGCCCTCTTCTCGTTGTTTGACTCCTCACAACTGCTTCCCGACCGGAGTCCACCGCCTCCCCTTGGGTCGCAGCCGCAGCCGCTCTACCATCCCTCTTGTGGCGACGCCTACTGCAGCACTTGCGGCTGCTAATATCAGATCCGTGGGCAACGCTCTTAAAGGAAGCACAGTCACGGCCTTTGTTTCTCCTGCCAGCTGCTGCTCCCTTGCCAACCGAAGTCTTCCGCTGACAACTCCGCCGCTCTTCCGGCCACCAAACTCCAACACTGCATTACTGCAACTATCTCCAACCTTGCAGATTTCTCCAGCATAGCTGCAGAAATCGCTGCAAGCTGCAGAGATTTCTCCCACCTCGCTGCAACAATCTCTCCTGCATTCTGCATCGCGCTGTAGCCTCCTATGCAGTTCATCACTGCAGCTTCATCGCTGTAGCCTCCTCTGCAGCGCATTGATATGCTTTTCTCCTCCTCCTCCTATATCTTTACATCTTATCACTTAAACCACCACAAAATATCTGGGATGTCTTCATTTTCCCCTTCCGATATTCCTATCCCTGTTTCTGCAGGGATTCTGAGTACTTCTCAAAGTCTTATCACCATCAATGCTGCAGCACTCATTCCCTTCAAATTATCCAAAGGCGGTAACTATGCATCTTGGCGGGCACAACTTTCTAATCTTCTATTTGGTTATGATCTCCTAGGTTACATTGATGGCTCTCTCCTGTGTCCAACTGACATGGTCAACATCCCAAGCGAACCCAGTCCAGTGCTAAATCCAGCCCACAAACTATGGTTACGTCAAGATCGTCTCATCCTCCAAGCTATTCAAGCTTCCGTTGCTGGATCCGTTGCCCCGCTGATATCCTCATGTACGATTGCTGCAGAAGCATGGTGCAAGTTACAAACAACTTTGGCAAATCGCTTACGTACTCGTATGCTCGGACTTCTCTCCAATCTGATGAAAACAAAACAAGAGGGAAGTACTATTGCTGACTATCTACAAACTATCAAAGTTATTATCGATGACTTGGCTTTGATAAGTCATTCTCTAAGTGATGAAGAAGTCCTAATCCATACCCTCAATGGCCTAGGAGGCGAGTACAAAGAACTGGCAGAAGCTCTTCGGGCACGCGACTCACCAATATCATTCGAAGAACTTTATGATAAGTTGATCGACTATGAGACATATTTGAAGCATGATGATATGTTGCCCGGACCACCTATTACAGCTCAGGTCAATCAAAAATCCAAGAGGAAGAGCAACCAGTACAATAAGCACGTCAACAACAGTCTGGCTAAGCTGCCTCCCAGCCCTATTGACACGGACTTAGCTGGTTTTGCCTAAGTCGTGCGGCACCCTTGCGTGTCCGTCCGCAAAGGTCAGCCTCCCCGAAGCCTCCCATTGTCCCTTAGGACCACCAAAAGAGAGAACGAGCAAGAGAGAACGCCTCAATCAGGATCCACAAGCAAACATC